ACCTCCGTCACACATCGCAACCTCACGATTCCCTGCGCCTGTCACGAAAATCCCACTTCCACATCTCAAAACCCGCACAAAGTACTGCGCCTGCCACGAAAAGTGACAATATCATCTCGTGCGAGCTTCCACAAAATTTGCGCCACACCACACGTTTGGAATGACTTCGACCCGTGCCGAACACTCTCCCATCCACCAAAATCGGCATTTCAGCTGAGACTTGTCACGAAAACAGAGCCTCGACGCCACATCCTGAAACGCAAATCCCAATGGCACGGCCACATCCAACACCCCAAAAACACGACTCTCCACACGCTAATCCCAATGGAACTGCGTAGCAAACTGCGGATCTCACAAAACGCTGCCCCTGTGCAGCGAAATGCATCACGCTTCTTGCGCGACATGTCCTTGTCACGCAAATCACAATGGACTCGCGTCGCAATCTAACACATAAGCCAGTGCCAACCTAAATGGATATTTCACATGTAATTGGATATTTCATTAACACATTGCACACATGAACAACACATGTCCTACATGATGCATGTCATACATGTTGCAACACGTCAAACATGACACAATACATGTCATACATGATGCAACCCATGTCATATATATGATGCAGCACAGGTCATACATGACACAACAAATACATGATGCAACACAGGCTGTACATGACACAACACATACATGATGCAACACAGGTCGTACATGACACAACACATACATGATGCAACACAGGTCGTACATGATACTACACATGATGCAACACATGCATCGCATGGTACAACACATTCCATACATTGCCAATATCAAATATACATGTATGATATCTCACATGGGCCCCCCACAACCCCTCGTTGAACAAGAAATTGCTTTTTGAGAGTTGGCCTTTGCCAACCCAGCAGGCATGCATGAACTCAATCGTTGTCAGACACCTGATTCCCAAGACACATCCAGTGCACTGTATCAGAAACACGACCCTTTCAGACATGGTTCTCCCCATTGCAGCTCACCAAAATCCACTCACCTGAGCACAGAAACATGGGACCAGTTGCCTAATGGATAAGGCGTTGTCTTCCTTACTGCCAGGGAACAGAAATTCAATTGCATGGCTGGCAGGGGGAGGTGCAAAGATGGAGGTTCGAGTCCTCCCTGGTCCGTTTTTGTGTTTACTTTATACCCTGGCAACATGTGTTTTGTCATGTATTGGATCAGCCTGTTATGTTTTGATTCTCATATGTCATGTGCCACATGTGATGGTCTGCCTGCCATGTTTTGACTCTCATATTCTCATATGTCATGTGGAAATGGTGTGTTGTTCTTGAGTGTTATATTGTAATATGTCATGTGGTACATGTGATGGTCTGCCTGCCATGTTTCGACTGTCAGGCGCAATGTTTCACATGTCTTGCATGACATGTCAAATTGTTCAATTCAGGCAGGGGGGGCAGGACAGGTAAACAAATCTGTGCCATGTGCCATGCAAAGATCATGTTTTTGAGCAGGGGAGCCCAGACAGTGAAGTGATGCCAAGGGCCATGAGACTTGGAGTGTGATCATGTGTCCTATGGTATTTGAGTAGGGACATGTCAGTTTGATATCAATGTTTTTTCAATTGTGACTGACACTCTAAATTGTTGATTTCTGGCTCACTCCCTGGAATTGTTGGAATGGGTTTGGCTCATTTGCCCCTGAGGTGGAATGATGCACCGTCAAGGATATCACATGTCACATGGTGTGGAGACCCAGCTTGGAAGGGGTTTGGCCATGCTTGAGGCCTGGGTGTTTCAGGGACCATAAATGTTGTCATGTTGCCCAAGACTTTGTGGCCCAAGACTCACGTGTCACCTGTCATTTATCCTGTGTCACCATGGCATTCTTGGCAACTACTGGCCATCTCTTCATTTGGTTCCATGCATCTCGGGTGGAGCACATTGTCCTTCTTGAAGATGGAAGCACTGGCGAACGTCGGGTGGCCTTCAGGAGGACCACAAGGCCAAGGGCCTCACACTGATTTGTTTTTATGTGTGCTTGATTGCTTGCCAAGATTTTTGTTGTTTTCTTGACATATATTTAGTATATTTGCAAGGAGTAATTGGTAAGCTGAACATATTCACATGCACACCTGTCAACAGTGACCAGGGGAGGGCATATTGCCTATAGCAATGTCCATGGCACATGGCAGTTTGTAGTGGATGGCACTTTGCAGATCCTCACCGTGACAGATTTCCACTGCACTGGGTCGACTGCGCCGGCCCAGTGGAAGAAGCACATCGTGTTCACCAGGAATGTGACAAATGATCCTGAGACACATGATGAGGAGATGGACTTCACAGATGGTGGCGTGAGGAGATTGGAGTATGTTGGGACCCAGATCATTGAAACTCAAGGGCATTTGGTGAAGTGCTTGGAGGATGGCTCAGTGACTGGCATGGCACGTCAACGACTCACTCAAGCTCTGACAGCTGCCAGTGTCATGATATACATTGATTAAGTGTTTATTTTGGATTTCAGTTTTGTTTGGTTTTAGTTTATTTTCTCTGTGAATGGCCATATTCTGCATGAAGAACCCATCTTTTAGGAGCTATGATGACAGATGATGATGCTGTGCCAGATGTGCCAGGCGAGCCATCACCAGATGCGCCACAGCAATCGTCAGAGCAGCCATCGTCAGAGCTGCCATCATCGTCAAGTGACACTGGTAAGGGCCACATTGTGTCCAATAAGATGCCGCAGTCACTGGCATTGGTGCCTTATGCTTCCAATAAAATGTCATCATCTTCATGGTCCATTGCACCTCAGTCAACTGAGACGTGCTTGGCCATAGTTCCATTCAACCGCTGGAGCAAACGCCGACATGCATCAAATGATGACATATGGCATCATGATGCTTTTGATGTCTGAGCGAAGTGGTTGGAATTTGCACCAACTCTGAAACAAGAGTCGGGGCTTGGAATCTGACCCACCAGATCCAGAGTGGAAGGGTCCCCAACAAAACATGCCACATGATGTGTGTGATTGTGGGAAGGGATTGCTGGAATGCCATCATGAGGCCATTAGGTTTCATATGTAATATGC